GACAGAGCAAGACTCTGTCCCCCCGCAAAAAAAAGCAACAGCAGAACGTGTGACAGAGAGTGAATATGACCCTCAGAGTCCAAGGTCTCTTAATTGGCACTCTTGGCCTTCAGGGCCAGAAGATTCTCTAATGAGGATGCAGGCTGTTTCGCAGTGTTTCTGTCTCTCCTGGGTAGATGCCAGTAGCAACCTTCACTTGTGACAACCAGATGTTTATCTAGACATTACCAAGGGCCCTGGGGGACAAAACTGTCCCTGGCAGAAACCAGTGGGCTAAAATATTTCCTATCTGGGGCCAGACGCGGTGGCTCACGCTTGTAATCCCAGCACTTTGGGTGGCTGAGGCGGGCGGATCACGAGGTCAGGAGTTTGAGACCAGCCTGACCGACATGGTGAAACCCCGTCTCTACTAAAAATACTAAAATTAGCTGGGCATGGTGGCGCATGCCTGTAATCCCAGCTACTCTGGAGGCTGAGGCAGGAGAATTGTTTGAACCTGGGAGGCAGAGGTTGCGGTCAGCCGAGATAGCTAGCACCACTGCACTCCAGCCTGGGCAACAGAGCGAGTCAAAAAAAAAAAGTCCTATCTGGCTCGTTACACAGGTGTGCTGACCTCTGCTCTCATGCATCAGCCTGGCCAGCGTATTGCAGTGTCCGCCTCTGCCTGGCGTGTATGCTTAGTTGTGTAAACCGTGGAGGGGCTTGTGTTGGAGGCAGCTTATCTGGTTTGTTGCACAGCTACGACAATGTGTCAAGCCTGGGGTCGACATAACTTTTGTCAAAGCCGGATTCAAGCTGAACAGTGGGAGTGAGTTTCCTCGTGATGTTATTTATTTCTAGATTTTGTGTTTTGTGTGTTCCCCTGTTTTATTTTGGTAGTTCAGAATTGGGCAACCCTATTAGGATAGAAGTGATGAACATTGGATGCTTCCTTTGGAAAGGCGATTTGAGGAGGGCCCTATGGGAGGAGACACTTGGCTTCTGGAAGGCTGAAATGAAATTCTGGCCGGGCGCGGTGGCTCACGCCTGTAATCCCAGCACTTTGGGAGGCCAAGGCAGGCGGATCACGAGGCCAGGAGTTCGAGATCAGTCTGGCCAACATGGCGGAACCCTGGCTCTACTAAAAATACAAAAATGAGCTGGGCCTCGTGGCAGGCGCCTGTAACCCCAGCTACTTGGGAGGCTAAGGCAGGAGAATCACTTGAATCCGGGAGGCGGAGGTTGCAGTGAGCCGAGATCCTGCCACTGCACTCCAGCCTGGGTGACAAGAGCAAGACTCCAGCTCAAAAAAAGAAAAAAAAAAAATTTTATTTTCTCCAGCTTAATGGAGTGGCAGGAGAATAAGGCAGCATTAAGCTAGCGGCTGCTGCAGACTGTCATGGGGCACAGAAGCTGAGGAGGGCATCCCCAAGTTAAAAAAAGAAAAACCTGTTCTGCTTCTTCGCAGAGACCCAGGTGACCCTGGAGCACTGTCCCTGAAAGGCAAGTGGTGTGGGAAGCAGCAGTGTCTACTGAGCAGGCTGCTGACTGCAGGGCAGGTGATGGAAAGACTGTGATGTCCGCACTCCAATTCCCCTTCTCCCCATGGCTCCAAGCGATCTCCCTATTATCTGCAGGCTTGAAAGACTGTGGAAGCACTCCGAAGCCCTCCCTGGGACAGAAGGGACTTGTCGGCCTGGAGGCTGTGCCCTCAGGGTCATGGCATCTGGAGCCTGAATGGGGGGAAGTTCAACCGATGGGAGAGGAGTAGCCTTAACGTGGCGGCAGGGTGGAGTGATCAGACGCAGGGGTCGGCCCTATGGGGCCC